GGTGCTAAAAATGGCGATACTGACTGACGATGCCGGCGAAACGTTTGGGAATGTACCACGTCGACTGTTCAACTTTGAAAATGATCATGCAGACAATGGATTCCAAACTAGGTGCGTTACTCTAAGTCATCTAACCAACATGACCACGTTGCGAAAACAAGGTCAAACAACGTCTATAAAACGAAAGGAGACTGCGACCACACAAAAGTCCGCACCATCTTGGTCTTCATACCTTCGAAGAAAAGGTGGATTTCGAAAAATCTCTTGTCTCATAACTGTTGAGCTTATTTTTATTTCGGAAGTGCCACCACCACTTAATTGTTGAGCTTACTTCCATTTCGAGGGAAAGTGTTTGGTGAAGAGATTCGAAGGTCGATTCCACCTAAAGACGACGGCGGATTCCTCTTGACCAAATGTCGATTGGCTTTACTGGAACATCTCCTTTGATTCTGGTGAAAAGGTGCTGAGCTTTCGTCCGTCATATGACGAACATCAGAGCAAGGTATCATCGTCACAACCAAATTCAAGCTAATGAGTCAAGAAAACTCACCGGTTCAATATCTGACCTCTTTGATGGGGTATAAACTGAGTGATTCATTAGCTTGAATTTGGTTGTAGAGATGATACGCGACTTTGACGACGTTCGTCATTCGACGGACAAAAGCTTAGCACGTTTTCACCGGAATCGAAGGAGATGAAGTCGGAAACAGCGTCAACGTAAATGTTTCAGTAAGGCCAATCGACTGGTCACCAAACACTTTCACTCGAAGTGGAAGTAAGCTCAACCATAAAGTGTTGGTGGCACTTCTGAGCGTCTCCAGGACAACACCAGCCCATACAGTCGGTCAAAACAACCAGTGGCCCGAGTGCACTCGACGGACTCACCTTGTGGCTCGTGTAGACGTCGAAGGTTTCGTTGTTATTGCGGCAGAAGACACAGAGCTCGATGTTCGCTTCAATCAACCGCTGACTCCAGGTCGTGAGACGATTGAAGAAGTCGAAGAGACGAAGCAGGTCGGCTCGCTTCATAGTGCTCCTTTTTTCGATGACGCTAGAAATCCTAAGCGGGAGAGGTCCAAGGAAAGCGTCGGGAAAATAAAAATTAAAAGGGTTCAATGAAAATAGCATAATAAGCAATAAAACAAATATATGTATACAAATTAAATAACCAGGCCTATTTGATCAATTTTACTGTAATACATTGTATATCTGTATTATGCGAAATTATTACCATATATC